TAGGTACACGAGGAGATTGTTATGATCGTTATTGTGTCCGCATTGAAGAAATGCGACAAAGTCTTCGAATCATTGTCCAATGCTTGAATCAAATGCCTAAATATGGTAAGACACCACCCAGACTTCGTGGGTTTACAGATCTCCCCAACTTACTCTATCAAGGTATCGGCCCTGGCAGGCGATTTTTCTGCCATTTCGGAAAATTCGGTAGTGTCGTTATCTGCACTGGAACAATGCCTTTCCACTTACGAACTGGCCTCATAAATGAGGGTCAGCTGGCAGAAGTCGGTGGCTCTCACCCCCAACGGTGAGCAGCTAGCCTTGGACTTGGGTATAACGGTTAAACCTCGCTCGGCGGTAGAGAGATACCTGGGAGTACAAGTCTCCTTTGAGGATCCTACAGACATTCAAAGCTCAATAATCGAAAACACAATTAGAGACGTTTGTGCCAGTTGGTCCAAAACCCGCTTTCTCTCGTTGTTTGGTAGGGCAATGGTGATTAACACCTTCATCTCTTCCAAACTCTGGTTCATCTTATCTATATGTGTACTATCACCAAACTCTGATATCAATATCAGGAGGCTCTTGACCCGTTTTCTGTGGAAAGGAGACTCGGAAGCCCAATCGGTCCTGTCCAAAGTAAGTTGGTCAAAAGTTACAGGGGGTCTGGGTATCCTGGACCCGAGTACACAGAACAGAGCACTACTAGCTAAATGGCCTGTCAGAATGATGACAACCAAAGAAAAGCAACCTTGGATATTACTGACCCAAGCATCTCTGGCTAATCAATGGAAGCTCTCTAACCCCGAAGTTGTTTCGCAGGCCTTACTAATGAAACCCTTCACTGCCGGCACCTCGACTAAGACCTGGGAAGAAATCCTCAAGGCATGGGGCAAGATGCTCCCTCAAAACCTGGAGGAACCTTCCACTGTGCATGAAATACTTAACACCTGTCTCTTCGAAAACACAGCGGTCTGTAACCAAGCAGGGTTTCCGTTCTCCGTAGCCAAAGCTCCTGGCAACTTTGGCCGAAAGTGGATGCAACGCGGCATTTGGCTTATCCGTCACATTTGGGACTCCGACAAGAAAGTATGGAAGAAAGGCGCAGAACTCAGGCATCAACTCGCAGGTCTTCATCAAGTTGACTCCCACCTGGCGAACCTGATCTCTGCTATCCCCTCGAAGTGGTCCACGATCATCTCCACCCCCCCCAAGAAGTACTTCGAACAACAATGGTTCAGCTCAACAGTCGAGCCAGTTCGTTACTTCAAGATAGACACTGTTTGTGACAATGACGAAGTGTGGCTCTCAGAATGGACTCTCCAGGACTCAAGGCTTCAACAGCTCAGGGACCCTGCGCCCAGATCTCTGGAGGGGCTGCAGGAAATTACGGTCCAGCAAGACCGTGACGGTGCATTCCTTATCAGGCCTCAGTCCTACACAGATCCGGAGTGGAAAGTAGACACATACAAGATTGGATGGTTAATCTCAACCCCAGGCAAAGAAGTCACCAAGGTTCCACTGAGAGAATACACGTCCAAGAGTGGGTACAACCTCCACTCTCAGGCTCAGTCTATTCAAGCAGGTCTCACAATTAACTGGCAACATAGAGTAGCATCCCTAAATCTGAGATAAATTTCATATTCGTGGGTCTTTTTCTTTATCCAGCTCTTGCTCTGGTCACTGGAAACAAAGGTGGGGGGGCTCCATTGGTTATATTTGCATTCTCCATTGGTTACATTTGCATTCATGTGTCCCCACTGCCCTTTGGTGTTCAGAAAAGGGAATGGATATCCATACGGCGTGTGACATTTATCCCCATCCGTGTTTAGAAGACTGGCTTCATCTCTGGTGGGAATGTGTTAGTGCTAAGGGCTTTTGGGAGTTTCTAGATTCCCTATGGGAGAAAGCGTACTCCACATTAGGTTTTTGGAGCAAAGACTTAGTAATTACCGGTAGAATCCCAGAGCAGTTTAAGAATCATCAAGTGGGCGAGGTTGCCCAAATATTCAGAAGAAGGGTCTTCTAGTCCCTATGGATAGCACGTCGGGATAGACGTTTCCTCAATTCCAAACTTTCCCTGCACTCTCTTACTGCAAAATTCCGACACTCGCTGAGAATGGAGGTCACAACTGACTGGTGTAAACCAAAAGAAATTCTGCATCCATGGAACTGGCTAAACATAATTTCGAGAAGAAATGGTCCTCACCCTATAAC